CCACCCCAGGGGCCCTGCCACCCCAGGGGCCCTGCCACCCCAGGGGCCCTGCCACCCCAGGGGCCCTGCCACCTAGGAGCTTCTTAACCGCCTCGGCGACCTTGTCCCCAGAGATTGGAGAGCCCAACCCAGAGTCCCCTGGCTCAGCTTCCTCAACAGAAGGCATGTTGGTGGGATTGAGGAGGTCTAAGAAGTATTCTGCCCATCGGCCCACAACGTCCCGAGTCGAGGTCAGCAGCACACCACCCCCACTATAAACAGTGTTGGTGCTGCACTGCTTCCCCCTCCTGAGACGCCGGATGGTGGACCAGAATCGCCTCGAAGCCGTGCGGAAGTCTTTCTCCATGGCCTCTCCAACCTCCTCCCACCCCCGGGTTTTTGCCTCAGCGACCACCCGAGCCGCATGCCGCTTCGCCCGCCGGTACCCATCAGCTGCTTCTGGAGTCCCACAGGCCAAAAAGGCCCGATAGGACTCCTTCTTCAGCCTGACAGCATCCCTCACCGAAGGTGTCCACCAACGGAAACGAGGGTTGCCGCCACGACGGGCACCAACAACCTTGTGGCCGCAGCTCTGATAAGCCGCCTCAGCAATGGAGGTACAGAACATGGTCCACTCAGACTCAATGTCCCCCACCTGCCCAGGAACGTGTTCGAAGTTCTGCTGGAGATGGGAGTTAAAGCTCGGCCTCACAGGGGACTCCGCCAGATGTCCTTTTATTGCTTTTTGTGTTCTTGCATTCTTTTGTAATTATCTTCACATTAGTTAAAATGGTCTCAAAACAACAATATTATTGTTTATCACAGTAACTTCTGGGACAATTTATTGTCCAGCTAAATTTATCATCGTGACTCAGCCTTTTCTTAGCTCCTCTTTCCGTCGGTAAGGAGTCGAGTTCATGAAAGTCGGAGTCGAATCTGCAGGTCGTTCCTGCTGAACTAGACTCCTCCGCCATCACTGAGCGAATCCAGGTCAGTCTTTGTCTCTCAGCTCTGGTTACAGTCCAGTTTCAGCACTTTGACACTGGATACCTTCAGAGAGCTCACACACACACACACACACACTGAAGACTCGACACACAGCCTGGTTTTCATCCAGTTCTTTATTTCTGAACCTCTTCATCTACTGGAGTGTGATTTTTACACAAACCTGATTCCTTTATGATTTCACGCTCTTAACTAAAAAACTACAATACTGTATGTTTATATACAACACACACACACACACATATATATATTAAAGTAAAGGAGATTAGAGCAGGTGTTTTCAAATAAAATGCAATAAAAGCACAAATTAGCACAGAAACAACAAGATATAAAAACAGTTAAAAAACAAACGGTTCATATTTATTTCTATTCCTCTAAGCTAAAGTCGACTCAGACCTGATGTTAACATGGAGTTAGTGAGTGATAATCCTGACTAGGACTCCCTCGGTTCTGCTCCGCTCCGGGCCGGTTCTGATGACCCGGTTCGGTTCTGTGTGCGTTACGCGGCGGTCGGCAGGTTTCCAGTAAGGCGTTCAGACACAGACAGGAAGCGGATAAAGCTATAAAGTTTTATTTATAAGGTAAAGAACTGTTCAGACCTTTGGGGTTAAATATTCATTCATCTTGATTTGCTCTGTAGCTTATATCGACTCGCATCGCCCAAAACCACAATAATCTGGATTATTCTGACCAGATTTAACTAGCAAAGGTTCCGATTCTGCCACAAATTCTTCATATTTTACCTCTGTGTCATCTTTTAAACCAGTCTACACTTGGTTCTAAAGACTTTCTGGAGTTTTCATTGGACTTTCTTTGCTTTTTTACTTATTTTCAGCCCAGAACTCAAATAAAGTCCCAGTAAAAACATTTGTTCAGGTTCTGTTGGAGCCAGAATGTTGAGGTTAGCCTCATGCTCAGCTGAAACGGCAGCAAAGGTCCAAAGAAAGAAAAACCTCCAGAAAGTCTGCAGAGTTTTACTCAAGACCATCTAAAATTTAAAAGAACTTGATCTGTTTGGATGCAAAATGAAAAGCATTTTGGGTCCAAAGATTCTAAGTTTGACTTGATCAGCAGCTTATTTTGGTCTTGATCAATAGTTCTTCAGGCTTTCTGAAGCTTTTGGGTTTTTTGGACTCTGGCTGAGTTTACCTCAGAAGGATTATAACTGAATCATACAGGTTGAATTTTCTTCTGTTCATCTGCATGAGGGTCTTTTTCTTAAAAAGGTGTTATTGGCTCTAGTGGCCTTGAGACCAATAAACGATGACCTTTGACATGAGGCAAAGGTCATCAGAGCAGGACTACGGCCTCCAGGTGTGAACCACAGCCTGAGCTGTTTCTAGCTTCAGGCTAAAGGAAAACTCTGTGAACTGCAACAAATTATCAACAGCCAAAGTCCAAAGAAAACTGTTGAGTCTTTTCTGAAGACCATTTCTTAAAACCAAGTTCAGGAAAACAAAGAACGACGAATCTGTCTGACATGAAGCTTCAGCGACAGGAAGTGACAGCTGGTCAGTGTGGCTGATGGAGACGTTTGTAATTTGAGGAACTGGCAGTTTCTCCTGGCGAACGCGCTGCTAAGTGTTTATAATATGTGCCTTTGTTGTCTTCCACCGCAGACGACTCGTGACTGAGGGCAGACCGTGGTTAGTGGGCGGGGCTTCAACTTTGTGCAAAAAGAAACTAAAAAACTGAACGAGTGCCCGATGATCAGAGTGGAATGACAAACGTCAATCACATAAAGTGCCTGAGTAACGACAATCACAACAGAAATCACTGAAGAACTGAAACATTATTGCAAACTACCTGAAAAGACGATATTCTTCTCTTGTAATGGGAGAAAGAGCTCAGCCTGCCTGCGGTGGTGCTGCCACCCGCAGGCGCGGAGACGTACTGCAGAGACCTGGCTTCCCTCACTTCCTTTTTCACCAGACTTTGGTAACTAAGAGCTATTATTGCGGTGCGCGAGTTCTTGTTTGGCACAAGAAAAACACAATACTGCTGATAAAGTTAGTGAATAAATATAGTCGGACCCTTTAAGAGGCCAGAGAGTTTGGTTAAGTAGGAGGCGTCTCCGCAGCACCGGCGAGAGGCGTTCAACCCGCGCCCCATCGCCCGCTTCCCTGACCGTCCGCCGCCGCCGCGTACGGCCGGCCAACGGGAGGACGTCGTACCTCGGGTCGAATGGAGGAGGCGGAGCCTCGACTAAACTATGTGTTAATAAGCAAACCCCGTCTTAGCTAAAGCTACAAGCTAGTTTTCTGTGACGCTAACCCGTCTATCC